CTCTCACCTGCAGGATCCCTACAGACACCATTAGGCTTCTTGGCTGTTCCTTTTTTTTTCTTTTTCTGGAACACTGAAAATCATTTAATATAATATAATATAATTCATATAATTTACTTTTGATTCAGTTATATTTCTGAATTGTAATAGCGTGTTACAAACAATCAAAAAAATAGTTGTAAGGGATCGGATTTTTTTATGTCTTTTTTTATCCATCTCAATGTGTTTCCAATAAAAGTCAAGTTCCAAATGAGCAGCCACTGTGCTTCGCATGGAAACAGTCCTTCTGGGATTGAGGTAGAGTTCAGGAAAAGTGGCCGGAGCCAAATCTAATTTAGATCAATCAGGCAGCCTGCTCTTTCCCTACCAAACCTGATTTATCTTCCATTAAATACACTATATTGCCAAAAGTATTTGCTCACCTGCCTTGACTCACATATGAGCTTAAGTGACATCCCGTTCCTAATCCATAGGGTTCAATATGACGTCGGTCCACCCTTTGCAGCTAGAACAGCTTCAACTCTTCTGGGAAGGCTGTCCACAAGGTTTAGGAGTGTGTTTATGGGAATTTTTGACCATTCTTCCAGAAGCGCATTTGTGAGGTCGCACACTGATGTTGGACGAGAAGGCCTGGCTCTCAGTCTCCGCTCTAATTCATCCCAAAGGTGTTCTATCGGGTTGAGGTCAGGACTCTGTGCAGGCCAGTCAAGTTCATCCACACCAGACTCTGTCATCCATGTCTTTATGGACCTTGCTTTGTGCACTGGTGCACAGTCATGTTGGAAGAGGAAGGGGCCAGCTCCAAACTGTTCCCACAAAGTTGGGAGCATGGAATTGTCCAAAATGTCTTGGTATGCTGAAGCATTCAGAGTTCCTTTCACTGGAACTAAGGGGCCAAGCCCAGCTCCTGAAAAACAACCCCACACCATAATCCCCCCTCCACCAAACTTTACACTTGGCACAATGCAGTCAGACAAGTACCGTTCTCCTGGCAACCGCCAAACCCAGACCCGTCCATCAGATTGCCAGATGGAGAAGCGCGATTCGTCACTCCAGAGAACGCGTCTCCACTGCTCTAGAGTCCAGTGGCGGCGGGCTTTACACCACCGCATCCGACGCTTTGCATTGCACTTGGTGATGTATGGCTTGGATGCAGCTGCTCGACCATGGAAACCCATTCCATGAAGCTCTCTGCGCACTGTTCTTGAGCTAATCTGAAGGCCACATGAAGTTTGGAGGTCTGTAGTGATTGACTCTGCAGAAAGTTGGCGACCTCTTCGCACTATGCGCGTCAGCATCCGCTGACCCCGCTCCGTCAGTTTACGTGGCCTACCACTTCGTGGCTGAGTTGCTGTCGTTCCCAAACACTTCCATTTTCTTATAATACAGCTGACAGTTGACTGTGGAATATTTAGGAGCGAGGAAATTTCACGACTGGATTTGTTGCACAGGTGGCATCCTATCACAGTTCCACGCTGGAATTCACTGAGCTCCTGAGAGCGACCCATTCTTTCACAAATGTTTGTAAAAACAGTCTGCATGCCTAGGTGCTTGAATTTATACACCTGTGGCCATGGAAGTGATTGGAACACCTGATTCCAATAATTTGGATGGGTGAGCAAATACTTTTGGCAATATAGTGTATATCTACGTTAGCTTTAAGTGCTTTGTGCTGCTTATGTAAGGATCCATCCATCCATCTTCTCCTGCTCATTCAATCAGGGTCGGGGGCAGTGCTTATGCCCAGCAGTCTATGGACAAAAAGCAGGGTACACGCTGGACATTTAGATAACAAAAATTGTGTGCCTGGAAAAATAATACTTGTTTTACTGATTAAATAAAAAATGCCTAAACTCTGCATTTTTACTGAGTAAAATTGGGACAGCTCTCATTCTATTTCTTAGCTATAGTTTTTAGGCCATGATCAAATCAGTGCTTCTTTTTGTGGTGTGAAGTTGGTTTAATTGTAGTGCAGAACTGCTTTTTAATGATACTTCAGTTTCTGGAAAGTATTTGAAATGTCAAAACTATTAAGTTGTTTTTTTTTGTTTGTTTTTTACATAGACCTAACAAGAAATTATTTATCCACATAAAGTCTTGTGAGTGTAAACTAGTGGATCATGCACAGGTCCTTCTAACTGGATGCATATTGGTAAATCTTGGTCTGGGTGACTTCATCATTGTTGCGCAAAGTTTTGTTTTCTGACCTTTTACCGGTTGTGGAATTTTCCACCAAATCAAACTAAGGCAGATATTTTAGTCAGGGTTCATTTGTTTTGGTCATGTGTAATTTTCATTTCTCTGAGATAGCAGAGAATGTTGCATTGGTCTTATGACAGCCCTTAAGCTTTCCCAAAATAAATCATATCAACTACTTACAATTCATGCACCATTTTTTTATTACTTTTTATATTTGAAACCAACGATAAAAATACAACCTGGTCAGTGACTATGCAAATTTCCTTTCATCTGGTCATTGCAACCACAAAACCAGCTTAAATCGGAGGCAACTAGACTTTCACTTTGTTTTTCTGAGGATGTTGTGACACTAATCCAGTATTTTTTATTCATTCTGTCGGCTCACAATCGAGCAGTCGTTAATTGTGAAGTGCTGGTTTTCTTAAGCAGCACTTAAACCCATCATCCCAAGCACATTCCAAGTCAGATGCAAATTGAAGACCCACCCACTGTTCACCTGGGGTGCTGTCGTGCTGTTATGTTTGCTATATATATGGTTCATATTGTTTGGGTGAGCTTGTATAACATTTTTGGGATGAGTTTCAGGACGAAAATTTAGATAGCTGGAGGCTGAAAATACAATTGTCACCCTTTGTTCCGTGATCTCTTTATTCTTTTAACAAAGATGGCTTCCTGCACCCCTCTTTTAAATAATTTGTGCTTTCTGTCCAAAATCTTAACATTTTGGTCATCAAAGTTGTGTATTTTACTCTTCAGGTCCAAGTGTACTATTAAATCTTACCCAGAGCTGCTAGGTCTTCTGCACTATCTCACGTATTTTTGCAGTTGTTGTTTGGTTTCTCCAATATAAGAGTTCGAATAGACCTCACTATCAGCTGTCCCCAAAGACATGTCAGTAAACCGAGTACACGTCCTCCCCACCCCATCCTGCTGGCGAGCCAATGGATCTCAGTGCAGGCCAGGTACCACAACAAACACCAGTCCTCAAAGCGGGCACCACATCAGTCCAGAACCAAGGCCCAACCCCCAATAGGAACCCCACCCATCATATTATATTAAAAAAGTGTGTTGATTGTTTTTTTTTTTTTTTTTTTTTAATATGGCCTGTATTTACATATAGCAATTTTAAGTCAGGAGACTTTACCTTAACTCTGCCCCTTTTTCTGCCTATAGCCAGCTCTGGGTGGATTTACTGTTAGTAACCTCCATATTCTTTATTTAACCTTCAACGTGATCTTGTCTGCATTTGGGCCTGACTGTATGTGAAACTGTTGAATTTCTATATTAGTTATTTAAGTGTTAGACACTCATACTTGTCAGTCCCTACTGGTAATGTTTTTGATTGTACAATGATAAACATGGTGCTAAATTTGATCAGCTTTTGAGCTTGTTTCTCTGCAGTTCATGCCCCAAAACTCTTCTCTGATCCTTTGAATCACTGTTGTTCATCATGGAGTTATTGACAGAGAAGTCTAAACTCCCACACATTTCCGTTTCTTAAGCTGGAAAGGGAAGCAGATTTAAGTCTAGCAAATAATGGAAAATGTGGGTTGAAACATGAGTAGGCAGGAAAGCCAGGAGGGGGGTCTTCAACAGACGAATGAAGAGCTTTGTACATGATTTAATCATTTCAACTCCCTTCTTATTCCCCCTCTTATCAGACCATCTTATGTAGGAGAAGCAGCAGGAATAAGAATACACACGTGTCTGTGGGTGTTTGTACAGAAGTGCCTGTCTTGTGAGTGCCAGCCAGGTCTGCTTCAGTATATTTATAGTTCTCATTAGCCACATCCTGCTGGAGCCAAGGTCACAGCCGAGTGAGTGGGAACTGTAAGGGAGAGACATTTTTTCTCACATAGGCAAACACACACTCTCCACTTTGCATTGCAGATATAGGGGCTGCTGAATAAAGCCATTTCAGATACAGGAAACAATATGTACAGTACAACAAAATACATTAGTTGGAAAATAACTCTTAAATTATTATTATTGCATTCATATTTAAAAGCCGTTTGGGATTTTCACCAATACACATTTTCCAAGCTCATCATCTGTCAGCAGGTCTTTTTGATAAATGGAAGCACAGAGTGGTGCAGCAGGTGGCCCGTGGGTGTGCAGACTGGAGCCACTCAATACCATACCCCAAGGGGTAAAATGAATTGTATGCAACTGGTAAGGGGTGAAACTACAGAGAGGTTGTAAAGTCTGTTTTCTCCAAAGAACCTGTTACAACATGGGGCTGCTGATAAATACCAATATAGGGCTGACAAAAAATGCCAACAGGGATATATCATCAGCTACATGTTGCAATAGGTTTTCTAAAGAACCTGTTATGTATGTTACAGTGATCAAAATACCACAAAATTTTTACAACATCACCTATTTGAACAATCTTAATTTTTCACACCCAGTCAATACGTAGATTAAATTAATTAAGTTCAAATAAATAAATAAATGTATATATATATATATATATATATATATATATATATATATATATATATATATATATATATATATATATATATATATATATATATATATATATATATATATATATATAAAGTAGCTTTTTTCTGTTTTCAAAATTAATTGTCTTTTGAAATCTAAATGTTACATGAACTCAGGTTTTGGTCTATTAAATCTTAAATATTAAGGCCTGATTAAAAGAGCTGATAAGCTGAAAAAATTTGAAAAAGTAAAAAAACCTTTAACAGGTAAAACAAATAGTTGTATTGGTAAAGACATATTTTGAATCTGGAGTCTCTGAACTTGAGACCTCAATCTCTGCCAAGTCTTACCTACACATTCCAACTGCCGCTTCATCTATATCTACCTCTGTCAATCTTCTCCGTCTCTCCAGGCCTCCTCAACAGCCATCAGCATCCAAGTCTCTTCTTTATAAGCCATCTTATCAGGGTCAGGTTCCTGCTTCCAAACAACTGCATCCTATCTTGGCCCCTTCACTGCCCTGGTCTACCTCCTACTCTATTCAGACCCCTTCCTCCTTCATCTTCCAATCCTTCTCCAGTGCCATGCCCCAGAGGAAAGACATATCTATTATCATAAATCTGCCCTTGCTGTCAGCATTATAAATTTTCAGGTCTATGTCTTCTGCTGGGGTCTGAGGAGGAAAACCATTTATGTTTATTCATGTAAACAAACTCTAATTGTGTCTCTGTGAGTCTCTCCAGATTGAAAGCATAGTTTAATTTATTCCTCCATAGAGGAAATTTGTCTCATCTGCAAAAAGCTGAAAGTGAGAAGAGGAAAAAAACTTAACCAATTATTCATATTTTTCCTGACTATATAAACTCCAGTTTACCAGCTTCAAATATCAACATGTAATTTCTTAAGAGGTCTTGAACACCCACCAATGAACCATTTCATTATGCCAGTTGCCATGGTGATTGATGAAAACACCAACCTTATTCTCCCAGACTCAATATAATTTCTCAAAAATGATTCATTCATAATTGCATTAGGCTTCTGGAGTGTACAGAGTCAGAACTACTGTAGTCTGTAATATCTGGGTGGTGGGGTAATACCATCCGGATGGATGGATGGGTAAATGAGACAGTAGTCTAAGCAGATGCCCAGACTTCCTGATCAACACATATCTCCTCCAGCTGCTCTGGGGGGACCCAGAGGCGACACCAGGCCAGCTCAGAGACATAGTCCCTCCAGCGTGTCTTGGGCCTTCCATGAAGACTCCTCCCAATAGGACATGCCTGGAACACCTCCCAATGGAGGCGACAGGAGGCATCCAGAAAAGACAGTAATTCTACTTTGTACGACATTTCAGAAATTACAAGATGGATTGTCCAAGAAATGCAGAGAAAGATGGATCTCATCTTGTTTTTTGTTAAACTCTTTATGGTAAAAAAACAAAAAAAGAGTAACTTTACAGAAACATTTTTAAAAGCACTGTGAGATTCCTTAAAGTGATTTGAACTTACAAGGCATGTTTTATGAACCCCTGATGATAGCCCATTAAATGAAAATATAAGTGATAGATTTGTCAGAGCTTTTTATAGCTCCACAGAAACAACCCTGCTAATCCATAATCCAAAAGGTAATTTACAAAATGAGGCATGCATAGATTGTTGATTGAACAAAAATTTAAAATAATTTAAACACAGTATTGGTGGCAAGGTCATCGGAAAAAAAAGAAGTTAAATCAAGAGGAATCTAACTTGACCTGATGCAAGTCATTTAAGATATTGAGGCTCACAATCCATCCATCCATTTTCTGTCACGCTTATCCCTGCTGGGGTCGCAATGGGTGCTGGTGCTTTTCTCCCGCTGTCAATGGGCAAGAGGTGCGGTACACCCGATCTTTCACGGGGCATGACCATTATTGTTGCACACATTTACACCTAACAGTGAGAGAAACCAATCAACCTAACAGTCATGTTTTTGGACTGTAGGAGGAAGCAGGAGTACCCAGAGAGAACCCACACATGCACAGGGAGAACATGCAAACTCTATGCAGGAAACTCCATGCAAACTCCTGGGCTGGGAATTGAACCTGGAATCTTCCTGCTTCAAGGCAGCAGTGCAAACCAATTTACCACTGTGCAGACCGCATTGAAGCTCACCTTCATAATATGGATCGTATATTCGGAAGAAGAGGAGTGTTCTGGAGATTTTATCTAGAAAGTTAATTGACTTCTGGTTTAAATGATGTAATTTCAATAATGGCCCACAATGGGGAAATGCACCATCTGCATTTTGACCCATGCCCTTGGGGAGCAGTAGGCTGCCATTATGCGATGCCCAGGGAGCAGTGTGGGGTTTAAGGTTTGTCTCAGAAACCAGAGTGCAACTTGCAACTTTCTCAGAGCACAAGTGCGCTGCTCTAACCCACTAGGCCAACACACCCAAGATGATGATTTATTATGAGTTTCTTTGATTGACTCTATTGTTACAATAAATTTTATAATAATTATGTGAATACATGAATGTATAATATTGCTGCTTATTGCTGTTATCAAGTTGAATTTAGTGTGATAATAAAACTATTATTTATAGTGTTCAAATGGTTGGAGTGGGTGGCTTTTGTTTGCATTTTTCCGTATATCTTTAAGTGCTGTTGTACATATTGTATACGCCTAACTCCACTACCTAAATAATAAAAACCTCACTAGTTCCTGAATTGCAGCCAGCTTTGTTTCTTGTCCCTCATTACTGAACAAACTGATGCCTCTGACTTCAGTAAACAAGTTTGTCCAGACACACTTGGACCAATCCATTTACCAGTGGTGAAAGATAAGAATCAAAGGTGCTCGCTGAAGTTCAGGAAGTACTGGTGTTGAGCACGTAGCCCACATCGCACTGGTTTAACCAGTCAAAAGTACCATTCCCCTTATCTCCACTGCAAAAAATTTAATCTTAATTTTTTCTTTAAAAAGGTGCATTTTGTCTTGAATTGAGGAGGTAAGTGAGACATTTTGCCAATGGAACAAGACAATTTACATTTAAAATAAGAAAAAAACATTTGCATTGTCTTATTTCAAGTGCATATTGTCTAATTGTCTTATTTTAAGAGTAAACACACTCATTCCATTGGCAGATCATCTTGTTTACCTACTGAAATTAAGGGTAAATACACTTAATTTAAGAAAATGTTACTTTTTTCTAGATCGTTTTTGCAGTGTCTGATTGATCTTTTTTGTAAGTTTTTGTGATTGGTTGATTTATGTTTTTGGTCTGTGGTGGTTTACACATATTATTTGAACACAATCTGTGTGGTGTTTGTAATAAGCCTAATGTAGGCCACAAACTGAAACACATTCATCAGCTAATAAAATTGGTTTTAAATAGATATTGCTGTATAACTTCACCAGATTTGAACTTCATCATGTGCCATGAAGTTATTGAGTGTATGAGAGAAACATTTGGATATCTGTAGCTCTAAACACAGCTTTGACCCAAATAAATCATGCCATATATTGACTTTTATCAATAATTATTGATAAAAGTCAATATATGGCAAACTGATCATCAACTACTACCAAACAACTTTAGATGCTAAAACTGAAATAAAAGGTGATCCAGCTTTTAAGCTTATGTTTTTAATCAAGCAGTTGTTTTGTTACCTTAGAAAAAGCAGGCTGCTCTTGCTGAAACAGCAAAAGTCAGCAGGAAAGGGAAGACATGTTTTTCCCTTCAAACAAACTCTGTATACTGAAGACCATGAACCTAAAGGAGAATCATAGTGGTGAAAATTGTTTGCAAAATGCATAACAATGATAACCATTACTCATTATTCAGACTCTGTACTGTGATATATATAATTAGGAATGTTTCTAAAATAAACAGTATGAAACATTTGATAACAATATAATCTGTTTTTCTTTTCTTTCTTTGTTGTTCTTTTTGAGGTAACAGTGTTTGGTTAGTGTTTGGCCTCCATAGCACTACCCACCAAAGAGGAAACACAGATGGTCCTAGTTCCTGTAATTAATACTCACACAACGCAAAACAAAAAATAAACAAGGAAACTGACCATTTACAGGCATCCTGTACACAAGGCATTAAATGTTCCTATTGTTACTACTTACTTAGTGACTATTATATGATTTGGTCTCCTAAAGATGTTTCATGTTCTTTATTCATGAAAACAATTCCCTACAGTAGCTTCAATCAATGGTTTTGGTCATTTTCAGTGCAAAGTTCTCATCATTTCTGTCCATCGGACAGTTTCAATTGAGAATGTGCAGCTTTTTATACCTCTGTAATCTTGTTAAATGGTTTGGCACAACACACTGCTTCCTGGTGTTTTGAAAATCCAGATGGGGCCACTGTATAACAAAACTGCTGACTCATGCATTCAAACTCCTTCACTGTTTAGTTGGCGATTTAAAAGCCTTTGACTTGATACTTAGAAATATTTCCAGTTAACATTTGTTATCTCCACTTCAAATCATTTACAATTTAAACATTAACTTTATTGTTTACTTTTGCAATCTTAAATCAGTTGCATTTAAAGGCAACTTGTCAATGTCTTTTTTTTTTCTTTGATAATTACATTTTCTTAAAAATGGTATGTATTAAAACATGGAGTTCACACAGCAGCATAATCATAGTCATGCATTCCATTGTACAGAGTGTTTAAAACATTGTAACTGCCATGATCTCAAATCATGCAACATGATGCCTCTCGTGTTGCATGATTTGAGATCAAGCGAGATAAGAGAAAAAAAGTTTATTGTATTTTGTTGTGAATGTTCATGCATGCAGAAAAAAAAACTGGCCACAGGCAGATCAAGGGAAGATCCGCCAACAGACGATGACTTAACCGAGTGGATGCATGCTCTGAGGAGATTGGAGGCAGGAAGAAACATTCCAGGATGTGACCAAAATCTGCAGCTGCTAAAAATCCAGTGAGAGAAGACAGGCACAGGCAGTGTACTCTGACTCTCGAGCACCGTCTCCATTCCTTAACCACTCTTAGTATGCAAATGTTTTCCTTTTAAATTCAATTCAATTCAATTCAGTTTATTTATATAGCGCCAAATTCACAACACATGTCATCTCAAGGCACTTTACAGTTCAACCAGATCATACAGTCAAATTGATACAAAGTTTTCTATCTAAGGAAAACCAGTTGATTGCATTGACTCATTGACTCAAATACAATCCCTCACACTAAGCATGCTTGTAGCGACAGTGGAGAGGAAAAACTCCCTTTTAACAGGAAGAAACCTCCAGCAGAACCAGGCTCAGTGTGAGCGGCCATCTGCTGAGGCCGACTGGGGTTCAAGGAGACAGAAGCAGAGATACAAAAAGCAGCTGTAAAAGGCGGCCCCGTCCAGGAAACACACAGCCAGGCAGACGAGCTCCAAGGCAGCTCCCATGCCAGAGGACGAAGAGAGCACATCCACTCAGTCACGGTCAGAGAAACAGGACCACACTGGAAAACAGGCCGATCTCCAACATCTATTAACAAGGGTG